GCCGGACTGAACCAGACCTGAGAACATGAAGGTATCTTTTGTTAGAGAGAATGACTTGAAATGAGAAATCGCAATCTCATAAATTCAAAGTCTTCAGAGACCTTCAGAGGCTGCCCTGATTATTGAGGTTGTAAATACGGCCAGCACGGGCTGTAATTAATCCACTGTCTTCTTCTTCTTCTAGACAATGGGGAATTCTGTTTCATTTGAATGAAGCAAAATGATCATTTTCCATTGTCATTTTTTTCCCAGAGGAATATTCACACCGTTTACTAGATTATACATAAGTGATCATGTGCAGCAGGCCACGATCGCAAAATAAACCCAGACATGGTGATCAGGATTTGCAGCAGGTTTTGTATCACCCTAAAGAAGTTTATTTCACAATAATAGCCAGGTGATTGTATACAGATTACCTAATAATGAAAAAAATGTGCAAGAAACCCATGCTGTTGGCAGAGGCTATTTAATCAAAACATCAGGTATCAGGTACAGTAGAGAGTAACAGTGGATTTAGTTTTTGATGCGGCCAACCTGATTTCCGTTCTCTTTCCCCATTGCATATCAGCTAGGAGATGCATTTATTGGTTACACTTTATTTCGATAGTCCACTTTAGACATTATATTAACTATAAGTAACTTTGTAACTACATGTCAACTACATGTCAACTAATTCTCATTAATTTGCAACTACATGTCTACTAACTCTCAGAGTAGACTTAGGGTAGGTTTAGGGTTAGTAGAATGTTGACAAAGAAAGTGTTAGAAGATATTAAGCAGACAGTCTACTAATACTCTACTAACTGCTAGTTGACATGTAGTTGCAAAGTTACTTACTGTTAATAGAATGTCTAAAGTGGACTATCGAAATAAAGTGTTACCCATTTATTTAAAAGTAAATGAAGGAAATATGATTAATGAAGTTCCTAACAGGTATTTAATTGCCCTATAATTGAAATTGGATGTGGTGTTCACATGTTGATTGGATGGGCCAACACATTGACGGCGAAGACCTTCGAGGACAGGCCAGGGTTAGGTCCCAATAAATCAGCATCGATTGTATGATTTTAATGATTTTAATATAATATACTAAAGCAGTACTGTATTTATCCTTTGTGGAAAAAGACAAAAAATCCAAAATATAAATATATATAATTTAATTCAATAACAAAAAGACCATAAAAAGTACATTTTTTCTTTCCCCATTTGGTTATTTATTTTTTTAAAGGTCTTTGTTTAGCAAACATTACATTAGCAATATGCTACTGTTGAACTGACTTTTGGATTTGGAACAAAGCTCAAATCCAGTGACAATCAAACCATTCATCGTATCGAATCCTTGAAATGTCTCTGAAATATTAAATGGGAGAATGTTGTCCAAATAGCTCACGAGCAATGATTATGATGATTATTATTACAAGTAGATTGACAACCGCATAATTCACCAAAAACATCAGCATCAAATATGGTCTCCACTTTCTATGGTTGCATCAATGCTTTGAAAGTCGTATCGCGCTCAAACACAAAAATGCAGTTTGAGTTGTGCTCAGACTGTACACCACATCCATGGGCTATTTATTGAGAGCTGGAGCCAAAGCCAATAACTACAATGCAAACACGAAAGGCAATGACTTCGAGTGTAAAGCAAGGCTGAATAAAATGACTCATCATCTACTGCTGCTGAAACAATGAACATGAACAGAGTAAGAATGGCTACAGACCGGAACTGCCATATACATGTTAGTCTCAGCCTAATATTGAAAATCATGTTTAAAATGCACTAGAATGGTATTTGTAGAAATGATTATAATACCTGTAATGCTTTATTGTGTGATATAGCTGTTTGTGCATGTTAAATCCACGCCAATGGTAGTTAAATGCCTTGTTTTTTTCCTGTCATTATTTCCGTGACTTAGCTACGTCATGTTGCAATTTTTTTTTTTTATGCATTAACTTCCAATACCGACACAATACTTTTCATAAATATAATACTGCTTATGAAGCTTCAGGAGTTGGAAACTGTTTATGGCTAGTGGATTTTACAACAGACTAGGCCAGCTGACCAATCAGAGAATAGGCTTTTCAGAAAGGAGGGGTTTTAAAGAGACATTAAAACTGAGCGTTTCTAGCAGAGAGTGAAAGAGGTGCTGCAGCAATGTACAGTAAAATAAAAATTATGTGTTTTATATTTTTAAATCATGTAAATGCATTCTAGTTGACTGCAAAATTAAAAGTATGAACTTGTAAATGAGCATAATATGGACACTTTATGTGTTTGAGGCACATAGAAGGAAATTAACTAAATGTCCAAATTGTACGTAATGATTATAATAATCAGTACATTTATAATATTTGGAGAGACAATTTTTTAACACAGAATCTTCAAATTAAGTCTGCTAAATAGGTCTGAAATGTACAAATTTGTGATGAACTGTGTGTGTCAGCAAATTAGTACAGTACAGTACAATTTCTAATAAGGCATTTGCACTAAAAAGAATGACAATGCCTTAATAAAAAAAAAATGTATGGTGCAATGCTATTTGAAGGTAGTTAAACTGAATTGCAGATATATCGTTAACAGCATTCAAATTAAATGTTTTTTGCGCTGTAACACAGCTCACTAAAGTTGAACAACTCTATGCATGTGTGTGTGAATCCATGTATGCTCGCATACGTAAGCAGGCTTTACATTTATGTGTGGTGTGGTGTGACTTCACACACACAAATACACCACGACCAAACCCCGCGGCTATCCCTCTAGCCGGCCAAAGAGATGGAGCTCTTTTAGGACGGCCTGGTTTCTCGACCACCTAACCGTCCTCTTTCTTTCTCTCCATCTCTATCCTCTTCTCCCCTCTTCACCCTCCCTCTCTCTCTCTCGCTGGCTAGCGTAGCTGCGGTCTGGGTTCAATTAAAATGCACGGCGCTCTAAAGCTGAAGTTGGTCAGCAGTTGTGTCAGGAGTCTTGGGCTCTGACTGATGATGGAATTATCAGGATGTGATAGACTACAGTTCCCTGCCCTCCATCAGAGCGGATGCTGCTCCCAATACAAGCGTGCAGCGTTGCAGGATAACTGACCTCACATCAGTGCTCTGTGGAGGGGCCATCACTGCTGACGAAATGATGTAAAAATGGTATTGAAGAGCAGAGATGGGTAGTAACTGATTACATGTAATCTGGATTAAAAAACAAGTACTTGTAATTAGATTACTTTTTTATAGATTAGATGATTACATATTATTGACAAAATAGCAATAAACAATCAAAAAACGAATGACATTTCACTTTTTTAGAAAGTGTTTTAATTTGATTGATTATATTTAATTAATTATTAGTTTTGCATTAAACTCACGAATCCCTTGCAGTTCCTTCACAAACCCCAGTTTGGGAAACCTTGACGTAATGCAACGTTTAATGCACTTCATGTTGTTAATAACAACAAATGCAATATATGTGACCCTGGACCACAAAACCAGTCATAAGGGTCAATTGTTTGAAATTGAGATTTATCTTCTGAATAAACAAGCTTTTCATTGATGTATGGTTTGTTAGGATGTGACAATATTTGGCTGAGATACAACTATTTGAAAATCTGGAAGCTGAGGGTGCAAAAAAATCTAAATATTGAGAAAATCAACTTTAAAGTTGTCCAAATGAAGTTCTTAGCAATGCATATTACTAATCAAAAATTAAGTTTTGATATATTTACGGTAGGAAATTTACAAAATATCTTCATGGAACATGATCTTTACTTAATATCCTAATGATTTTTGGCATAAAAGAAAAATCGATAATTTTGACCCATACAATGTATTGTTGGCTATTGCTACAAATATACCCCAGCGACTTATGACTAGTTTTGTGGTCCAGGGTCATATATTTTCTCTTTGTATTTTTTTATATCAACATAGTACAAGAGTATCCTATTTAAATGAATGGGATAAACAAGTTAGGTCAAAAGTAATCTAATAGTAGTCCAATTATATTACCTAAAATGTGTAATGTAATGGATTACGTTACTAACTGCAATTTTTTGTCATGTAATTTGGAATGAGTAACGGACTACAATTTATAAGTAATCTACCCAGCTTTGTTGAAGAGAACATCGAACATGTTTATGATCTCAAATTGGTCAATGTGTCCTAAAATACTGCAAATCAGACAACAATGCAGCACGGAATTCAATATCAAACTCATAATTTCTACCGAAAAAATGCTCTATGCTATATGAATGCATTTTGAGAGAATATACATATATATATATATATATATATATATATACATATATATATATATAGAGAGAGAGATAGATAGATAGATAGATAGACTTGCTTCTTTGTTGAAATACAAAGCAATTTGCTGAAGGACTGAATTGAAAAGTACATTCTGTAACAAATCTATAGTCCCTTTGCGATATCAGCGGACAAACACAAGACTTGTGATGAATAGCCAGACAAGCTGACTTCTGGGTGAAACAAAATTCCGACTTTGTGGTTCGGAAAGCATCTCGTTGTCCTTCAACAATGTAAACGTGTGCAGAAATATGGACCATGAACAGCAACCTAAAACTGTGTGCTCAGCCTTTGTGAAAACTGTACCAACACAACGTTTTTTACAGGGGGCGGTGGGGATTTGTGGGCATACAGGATGCAAGAGCACAAAGTGCCTTTCCATCTCAAACAGTCCCTTGTTTTCTTTCAGTACTGCCTAACCTTGAGATTGATGCTATTAAACCATGAGATGTTTCAGCAGTTTCTAGAAAATGTCTGCCTTCATACAGTCACTTTAACATTAAGTCTTGACATGAGACCATGAGTAACAAACCAGTCTTAGTATATATATGTTTTTAAGGCAAGTTTTGAAAGCTTTCCTGCACAAGGAGATATTGCATGACTATGTACGTACTGCATCAGTCAATGATATCGTATGCTCCAGATAAGTGAATGCTTCACCAGTGACTGGTGAGGATTTAAGATTTCTAAAAAAGAATCACGTGTACCTCCGAAGTCTGGCCGAAGGCGGATGTCATACCCCTTCAGCAATTTGTCCACTGTCGTCTTGGCCACAGATATTCCGGTATTTCCGGTGGAGGTGCTGCAGAAGAGAGAATTGAGAGCACTTTTTGTTGAAATTCAGCTAAAGCAAAATTTACATCACATAGCTAATTTGTTCATTCATGTGATTTGATGAAATCCTTTATGATTTTATTGCACTGCATTTTGTATTTATTCAAGATTTTGTTTTTCTTGAATGCTGCCAATCCGAAGAGGCTTATCTCTATCAATATAACCACCACATAATCATTAACATAAATCTATGGGATTGAATAATTCATTGGGGGGGGTTTTCAGAGCATGCTACTGAAAGCTCCATTGAATCTCAAAAAGTAACATCTAAACATTTTAAACAACACACCTAAACACCTGACATTTTGCTAAAAAACCAAAAACCTTAAAACATCACATTGTCAGCAGTCAACAGTGGGTGGTCAGTTCAACATGTAACTTTGACGACTGGTATGAATGGGTTTATCTGGTTCAAACATGCCGTTTTCAGCCAGGGTTTTAAACTCGGGGTCCCGGGACCCCTGAGGGTCTGTGAACAGATGGGTAGTTGATGCATAACATATTCCGTTTTTTTTTTTCATCAGCATCAACATTTTAGGATAAGATGTATATGAATGTTTAGATGAAATTGTAGACCGTTTTAACATTTTGCCCTCACTAGTTTATTGTAGATGGTTGTGTGGTGTTGTGGCTTATGACACATTTTGAAAAGAGCAAATATTCAGTCTCAATTACTATGCGGTCATTAAAGCTGTATGAATAATAATTAATAAATAAAACAGTTTGCAGTGCAGTATAGAATGTTACACAGCAAGACGTGTCCGTTTACAAAAATATATAATGTTACCTGTAAATACAGAAAAAAATATATTATTTATATTTTTACATTTTTAATAATGTATTAACGTTATTTTCTTTGAGGGGAAAGGGTAAAATTGAGGTATTGGGGGTGCTTGGCTGAACATGTAAGACCACTGGGGATCCTGCTTGGTCTTTAAAGGTTTGAAACTCTCTATTTAGGGGTACCTTTTAGTGTTTTTTACAACAGATAGCTTGCACATGACAGCCATTCTCGATTAAAAATGCATAAAAAATAAAATAAAAAAAAACTCCATCCACACTGAACTGAAAGGAATGTAGTAAAACGGCAAAATGGAAGGGTTTTAGGCCACCACTGTTGGTTTCAATGCTTTTAATGACAAATCATAAATAAACGAAGTGTGATGAGTAAAGGCAGAAATGTTTAAAGTATAATCAGGCTTGTCGTTTGTCTTACAGGTGTTCCACAAACACAGTATGACATGGAGAAAAGATACGTGCATTCGGCCTCAAAGGCTTCAAAGCCACGTCGCATCTCAATGATCATCAGTGAACACATGTCATTAACCATTATTGACTGATAGGCGTCGTCGTTCTTATTCTTATTGGCTGAGTGATGATGGATCTCTTCTAACGCCAGCGACATGGTGGGCATGGGTGGGGGTGGATCAGAAGGAAAAAAACATTGATCATTTGAATATTTGTATTTCACTCAGTGGGCCGTTGCATCAAAAACATATTGGTTACAGATATTGGAAAACG